AATAAGAACTCAAACATATAAACAATACGAAAGGCTACAACGGGGATCAACTAATCCCCTACACAAAAAGAAACCAAAGGACCACACGGATTCGATGGCCTAGACAACCAGCTAAAAAAAGAAACAACTGCAATACGAAGAGCTAAAGGCAGCTTTGAAACCTAAAGCCACAAGACAAACCAGTAACATAAAAAACAACTAAAAAGGACTAGCGTGAAAGAGACAAGAAACCAAACCAAAGGACTTAGTTCTCTTCTCTCCCAAGCAAACAAACTAAACAAGAAGCATGAACAGCCATGAACTCCCTCCACTCTAAAGCTGCCTGAATGATTGCTCCACAAGCCGGATTTTGTTAAATGTAAAGAAAATTACATAAAATACCTATTATTCCAGCCCCACCCACACTCGTTAACTAAACAAGCCTTGTACGAGCTCAAGCTCGACTTTTCTATCAAACGAGTCAAAGCAGGCTCAAGCCTCAATGAACCGAGCACATAAGCGGCTCATTCGTTAGACAGCTCTAAAAACGGGACAAGCAAACACAAAAACACAGAAGGCTTTAACACACCTAGAGAGAGGGAGAGATAGATTGTGATCGATAAGGAAAACATAAAGCATAAGATACAAAATATTTGGCTTTAATAGTAAGAGTCGGACCGAAATGGCTTTAATAGTAAGAGTCGACCAAAACCTGCTTGTAAGGTTTAAACTCTGTTTACTTACATCCAAATAAGAACAATAATTATCCAAAATGGGTTTAAGCAGGATGAGTTTAGGTTCTAATCTCAAGCTACTTGTAAGGGAAATTAATTTCCATTTCCCAATTCTAGTGCAACCCACCAGAGTCCTTGAATGTCTGATCAAAAGGAGTTGGCAAGTCGGCAAAACTCGACGGATGATCATATTTACATGCAGGTCCAAATTTGCAAATGCCATACCTGTGATAGTGTGTACAGATGGGCTGATCCTGCAATTATCAAGAGTCATATGAGAACATAATTTGGGCTGCATCAATTTGAACCCTTCAACCACACCTCTACATTCACTGAAGATATTCATTATATAATTGCCAACTGTAGGTACTAGTGGAAAGGAAAACCTTTGAGAAAAAAAGGAAGAAAAACTCAGAATACAAATAAGCATATATAGTTTAATTTATAATAGATAGTCTGTAAAACCATGTAATAACAGTAAAAAATGGTACTGTAAAAAGACTGAGCAAATCAAGCTTACAGGTCTAAGGGGCAGGCCTTTGTCGTTGAGAGTACATGAGTTGGACTTCGGTTTTGGTATACGAGTCTTTGGGTGATGAAATTTGCAACTAGACTTGAATTTGCAGTCTCCAGTTTTCATGAAGAAACTGCACTCGAGTTCGCCTGGGCGTTCGGGGTATTCATCAAGCACCTTATCATGCTGATGTTGCATAGGAAAGCTTATCTCGGTTGGTAGATTGCTCATGGCAAATGCTGGGGGTGTGGGTAAGCTCCTCTGAGATGTGGTGTAGGTTGGAGCCTCCAACATATTAGAAAAGAACAAAATCGAGCAGGTAAGACAGAGAACAGGTGTGGGTGAAAAAACATATATGCATTACCATATATACAGGAAAAAATGACCTGTTTTCTTTGTTTTCCTGTTTCATTCGATAACTTTTTTTCTATATCTTCAATCTGGAATTTAACCAACATTTATAGCAATGACCTATTTAACATTCAAAAATCATCTGGGTTATGATACCTATTCATGGAATTATTTACTTAAGTAGCATCAAAATGACACTCATTATGATACACATTTTAGAACTCTGGCTTACGTTTATTTATAAAGCATCAGTATGCCAAGACTCGCCAGGTTGCACATTTTATGATTGAGTTTCAGCCACTATCATTTTCTAGGCATTAACAGTTTGACAAAATCTTGATGGAAGTGATTATGACAGAAAAAACAACAAAATGTTTTTTAATATTCAACTCATTCATCAATTGCTATGCTAGGCATGAATAAAAGCTAGTCAGAAACTGATTAAACTGAGATTTAATGTCAATACATTCCTAAAGGATATTCCAATGTTTCATAGACACTGACTATCTTTTGTCATAAATATGTAGATACATCAGATAAGGGAATTATTTTGACAGACAAAACAAGTCGAAGAAATGATCACTGTACAGAATGTACAGCTGATTTTCAGCATTCGGATAGTAGTAAGGATATATAAGGTTTGGGATAGGATGAGTTACTGACTAAGCAACATAATGCAATTTGTGGCCCAAACCGTTTTTTTTTTTGCAGATTTAGTAATTTGATATTTTTGGTTGGTCACATCACTTNTAGAGACTTATGTTACGCCTGATCACAAGCCAAGATTTTCGGTAACTATCACCAATATTTCACAAAAATATCACAACTATATAAGATAGAGAAACTACCTGAGTTTGACATTATAGCATTCAGCAAAAATTAAGTAGTGGCCACTTCATAAGTTCTTTGTTGGTTTTATGTCAAGTACAATTTAGCAATTGGTTTCGCAACAACCTAGACAGTCAACAAGCAACTTCCAATTGCCTGCCACTAAGGCATTTCCTTCCCCAATCCCCTTTAGCAAAATAGAAAGTAGGATAAAAGAATCCCAAAAATTCAACACTAGAAGAAAAGATAATATTTGCAAACACACTAGCATAATGCATCAAATACTGAACCTGTAATATGTCCCTCCTAAGGCTCCTAAATTCTCTCACATTGTTCTATGACTTCTAAACTTTTATGACGATTCATCAATGACCTCTCTTATAGCTCTAAGCTATCCCAACACCATGCTTCCATCTATAGATCCCCCTCCACCACCACCACAACCGCTAGAAAAAAAAAAGGAAAAAGAAAAAAGAAAAGAAATGCAGAGGAGAGGAGAGACACAAATGAGAGAAAAGAAACCAAGTAGCCAAAACATGCATATTGCATACAAGCAGGATAGCAAAGAGGAAAACCCGGATTAAATCGAAATGCAACCTTTACTGTCGTTGGAGTATAAAAGAAAGACAGATGAAAAATTCAGAACTGCATAATACACCAAAAGGAAAATACAAGAATAATATCACAAGTGATGGTGATTAATAAAAAAAATTACCTGGTAACCATTCCACTCTGGATCTGAAGATGGAGCAACCTGGCCGCCAGAGAACACTGCAGGTGTGAAAGATGAAGCCTCATTGATTGCCCTTGGTGAAGACCATGAAGACATAGACGAAGAGGAAACAAGTTGTGAGGGAATAGATCCCGCGTTGCCATATCCGGAGGATGAATCAGTTCCAACTGCTGTGGTAGGTTCAGGATGATGAAACCTGCAGTTTGACCCATATTTGCAGCTTCCATTGCGCATGTAGAAGGGACACTCTTTTTCTCCCTGGAAAAAGCAACCATTTGTAATTAGGACTTACCGATAGACCTGCGACAAAATAAATTTTGAATTTCAAGAGCTACTAAAATCTTTGCTTCCATGTTCTTTCAAATGATATTAGGGATTTTCAGTTCAACAAAGAACCGCTATATTGTTCAAATCATGATCAATTTGAATGGGTAATCAGCTTTTTATGTACCGGAAATCAAGGCTCAACAAATGAGCAGTTCATTTATCTTAATATTCTTATAACAAAGACATTCAATTATTTCCATTCATCATTTCTCATTATCTGTTAAATTTGAAAAGAAAAATCTCAAATGCATCTAACCAAAGCTGAAATGAAAAACATATATCAACAATAAAAACTATGAAATCTAAATAAAGGCTATACTGGTCGAATTGGCAGTCCTAAAAAGTTGAACTCGAGAATTTGAGGCTTGAAGCTGTTTCCTGAACCATGCGAGAATCTACAGTTATTCCCATGTCTACATCCACCTGATGCCAGGTAATACTGCAGGGAAGATAAGTTGATTATTGCATAAGATGAGCATCAAATGGTTGTAGTTATGCCATAATTGATAATTGGCATAATAACACATACTTGATTCATGTACAGAACAGGTAAAACAAAGCCGACTATGAAAAATGATGTATTCTTAACGCTAGTAAAACTGCAATGACCAGAAAATAGATCAAGAATCTAGATAAGTTACAAGGTTTGGATCCAACATTACTGTGCAGGAACATACTAGTGCCCCTGGAACTTATGAATGCCTCTCACAATTGCATGCCAATCCAACATTCGTTATATGGGTTGCGTTTTGGGTAAAACAGAGAAAAGATTATAATTATCACAGTATACCTTGCAGAGACTATATACCATTGAAAAGAAAATCGGAGGATGCACATCTACAGAGTGATAACAAAATCACATATAGAAGAGCTATTATATTTAAAACCGACAGTATAAGGGAATAATGACCTTGCATTCAGCTTGCCCTGCCCTTTCTAAATTATCTCCACCATACTTCATCCTCTCCTTAACGACCTGCAAAAATCAAATTCATTCTTTTAAGTTTTTAACAATAAATAGAGGCCTAGTTCTATAAAGCAGGCAGAATCCACCAATGCATACAGACCTGGGTCTTTCTCCGAGGAGGGTGATTAAACTTGCAATTCAAACCAAATTTGCAAGACCCAGATTTCATATAATATGCACAATCCTCTGCATCAGGCCTCATAGGATATCTAATCCTCCAATCGTCATTACTTGGATTATATCTCCCAAATTTTGTCGTAGCATCCCAGGACTTACCTTCTCCATTCCTTTCATGCCCCACACTACCCCTCTCGTTCTCCAAAAAACCCAATCTATTTTCATTTTGATCCTCAAGACTCTCAGTATATTCTCCACCCTTTTCTTCATGAAAATTATCAAGTTTCCACGCCCCTTCATTCTCCATAATATCCCACTTGTTCTCATATTGAGCTTCAACATGCTCAGCATTTGCTCCACCTTTTATCTCATGAAGATTATCAAGTTTCCATGTTCCCTCATTCTCCATATAACCCCATCTATCCACATATACATCTTCGTTCCTTTCCCCATTTGCTCCACCCTTTTCTTCATGAAAATTGTCTAGTCTCACTGTACCCTCTCTCTCCAAATAACCCAACCCATCCCCAGTTTCATCTTCGGCATTCCCTTCATTTTCTCCACCCTTTTTTTCATGAAAATTTTCTATTTTCAGCATTCCCTCATCCTCCACACAACCCAATCCATCCCTATTCTCACCTTCAACACTAACCAAGTTTTCTCCTACCTTTCCTTCATGATGATTATCTAGCTTCAATGTTCCTTGACCCTCAATGCAGCCCAACCCCTTCTTATCTTCATCTTCAACAGTCTCTCCATTTTTACCACCCTTTTCTCCATGAAGATCACCTAGCTCCACTGTTTCCACAACATCCTTCCCTCCCTCCACAACAACGGCTTCTAATCTCTCACTCTCTGCCTCCATCTCAGCCTGCTGAATAGTCAGCTGGCAAAAATCTCTCTCCAGGGCACTCTGCAGTTCCAACTCGTCAGGGTCAGCAACACTTTCCACCACCACATCCGCCATCAACGCCGTCGGCGACCCACTCTCCCCCTGAGACGCGTTCATGGAGGACTCGCCGTGCTGGATCTCAACGGCCTGACCGCCGGCGATAGTGATTGGATCATGCGAGGTCGTATCGGGGACCAAAATCCCCAGACCCAGCTTCTCGATCGGAGGTTTTCCGGGGGTCGGAGGTAGTAATTCAGCCATAGTGCTCGCTCTACATGCGAGTCCCAAATGAAACCCTACCTTGAGAGGATTCTTGCTCTTTCACTCCTATTTTGGCTAGTAAATGTTAAAAATGTATGTCCTTCGAAAACGAAAATGGAAAGGTTAAAAAGCTTAAAAAGATACCGAGAATGGCAGAAGTGTGTGACTGCGTGAAGAGGTGTGATGGTACTGTAACCCACACACGGTGCGGGCGAGGGTAAGTGTGAGTGGGGGACGTTGGTGTATGTATATGTGTGTTTGTAGAGACAAAATTTATTTAGTTTTAGCCCGGTAAATCATATAACTTAAAGCATGGAAAGAATATGAATTAGTATAAAATAATTTTGAATGTTAAAATTAAGATTTATCTTTTTTTTTAATATATAATAGCTTAACATATAATTTATATGTGTACTTCACTTATAGTTGTCATTTTAAATTCTTATTTAGAATTGAGAACATAAAAATTTAAAGTATTTCAAACATTATCAATAAATAATATTAGAAATTATATATTCGCTTACTCATACTTTATTATAATAATTATTTTTATTTCTAAATAACTAATGATAAACTTAAAAATGATGACAAATATTATAAATTAACACTTAAATGAAAAATAATGCATGGTATTTTAAAGTTATAAAATTTATTAATTTTAAATTATCTTGTTTTTTTATTTTCCTATAATTTAAAATAATGTATATTATAAATATTTTAATATTTCTTTCTAATCTAATAATTCACATGTCAATTAATTTATGAAAATATATATTATAAGTATTTAACATAAAAATATAATATATTCAAACATTATCAATAAATAATATTCAGAAAAGTACTTATATCTATCTTCCCTTATACATTTCTTATCATAATATATTATTTTGATCCATGCAAATATGATGGTAAAGTTGAAAAATTGTGTCAAACGTTATACGTTGATACTTAATTTAAAATAAATGTACTGTTTTTTATAATTATAAAAATTACTATTTTTTAATTACCTCAATTATTTTATTTTTTTTTATAATTAATAATAATGCATTTAAAAAAAAACGACATTAGTACTTCATAAGAAAATTGAAATATATATAAACTAAATATGAAAGAAAGCATTAAAAACTTCCTCGTTTAGGCTTTTAGGAAATATTTTAATATTCTAGATTAAGTGAAGTAGAATAACTTATTTTAATATTTTGAAGATACTGATTTGTGGCAATTCACAATTCTAATGATAGAAAAACTATGAATGTTATATAAAAATAAGTTTTAATTATATTTATAATTAGTTTTAGAGTTGTTGTTATATTTCTTATTATTTCCTTTAATACAAATAATGATTGTTGCTTAATTTTCAAATTTTGTATGGTTTATTTTCTAATAACTCGCCCTCCGTGCACGAGCACGGGTTGAATACTAGTATATAAAATTCATACTTTAATACAACCATTTTCCATTACATTACAAATTGTCAATTTAACAAATGAAATATGAATGGACGAAAAATATAAATATAGAATTACTAAAATACACTAAAACATCCAAACAATTGGCATTTACAAATAATTAATATCAATACATCAACATGATCTAAAAAGCCTGCAAATAGAAATATATATCAAAATTAAGAATGGGATTATCAGCAAAATCCTGTTTATTTATAATGCATAAAGAATGAAACTGAAAATAGCTGCCAGGCTCTGAACACACCCAACATATGATATCACAGGAGCTGCATTTTCAGGAGGCGGTGGGCTCGTCGTTGTTGAACCTGAGAGATTCAAACGCGCGCTAATTAATTAGTACTATGAATAAATAAATAAATTACACTTATTTCTATAATATATATATATGAAGCTAAATTAGGATAAACATTTTGTCTTGCTTACATTTTGTTCACTGGTAAAGTATTAGGATAAACATTTTTGAGGACATTATAACATTATTGAAAACTTACTGTTATCGGTTGAGGGCAATGCCGGAGTAGATGGTAAGGTCGAGGCCGAGGGTGTAGTTGCTGCAAACAAATAAAGCGAAAATTCGACTAAGAATGCGTATATATACCAAAACAATAAAACAACAAGACTAAAAGAATGCCTATATATCTAAAACTTGAGGAGAATGACAATTATTATTTTTCATAATATAAAGATTTCATATAGCACTCGTTATTGTTGCGATTTGATTAGATTAGTTGGTGGATATTTCCTACAATAAAAATTCATTAGCGGTTAGTCATTTGCATCTGCTTCAAGTTATTTGGGACATTTTGTAAATTTTGCCTTTGTAATCACAATCATTTTCATAAAATAAATAAATAAATAAAATCACCCAAATATCATGAAGCAACACAAAAACGGAATATTAATAATGCTATTGAAAACAAACCCTATAGATCATTATCATCTTAATCATTACCATGCTGCGCATAAATGAAAAAGACGCCATAGAAAAAAAAAATCAGGCAAATTCAAACGCCTCAAA